GGGCTGAGTTGTCACAACTGGAGCAGATTAGGCCTGCAGGGACATGGTACAGATATGAAATAGTAGGTTATGCAGCATGGAGATAACATGAGGGCCTATTATGTTTACTCTGACATCACCAGAAATCACACGAACTTCCTCTCAGTTAGAACGGCTCCTTCATGTTGATGGCATAAGGTCTGATCCAAATCAGGTGCCTGCGTGTTTATTCTACTCATGTTGTTCCATTTTTTTCACATGGGAGACATATGGGAAAAGAAAATTTTCTGGTAACACTTAACATTTTTATTCTTTTTTTGGTTTGTTTTCTGAGCAAAGAAAAGTTCCTGATAAACATTTTTCACAGTGCAAAAGGCAGAATTTCAGCTTTTGTACATTCAGCATGGTGTTTTTTTCCCTATGAAGTCAATATGGGGATAAACATGGTATGCAGAAGAAATTCATGTCTTAATTTCCGTTGTTTCACCAAGGTCACTTTACAGTTTACCTCCTCAAAATTTGGCAATGCAAGATCCAATGGCACATATCCAATGAAGAGATCCAGCAGGAATAGTTTAATCTTTTAAACAGAAGGGAAATTTCCTCTGAAATTAGATCCCATTTATTTTCCGTTTGTGCAGTGTACAGGAGAGTTAAACCGCACATGCAAACGAGTGGGACAGAGTTTGGCGAAAACATTCGACCTGTAATAGAAACCAAAGTCTGTTTGATTTTGAGATCCATTAAGTTCCATTAATCTCTGAAGTTATTTAGCTATTTATCTGTATTATTCCCTATATGATAAGCTAAAAACTGAAATGCTTGAAAAATAAAATGTCATAAAATATCACACTTTATTCATACAGTTTGGATACACAACATCATTACAGCTCATGGCAAATGTAGCTCAAAGAAAAAATGGCTTTACATTCAATAATGTTTTTTCTGGATAAAGTGCTGCACAGCTTCAAAGCGAGCAGGTCTAAAGTTAGACGTTAGTGCAGCGCAGGAAGTAGCTGTTCCTCAGCACCCGGTACAGCCTCCCGGTCCTCAGGTCGTACTCGAACATGTAGGGCCCGCTGTAGAGGTAAGTAAAGCCTGCAGGGCGGAGACTCAGTCAGTTTCTGTTCTGCAGACTTGTCACATGTAAACTTGCTATCCTTTTTAAACACGTTTGAATTACTGAGAGATTCCATTGGTCTATCTGTTAATCTGTATGCGGAGGCTTATGTGTGAGACTTTCCATGATTCAGAACACAAAAACCTTAAATCGGTGTCTACAGGATTTTTCCACATGTTAAGCCCCTGTGGTTTTATTATTGGATGTCTACTTGTGGGGATTTACTGTGGCACGGTATGAATTCACCAGTCAGATCGTAAGCAAAAGCCAGTCTCCTGTGTGTCATTTACATGTGTGGTATTGGCAGTAGAACTACTTGGACTTCAGCTGAACTGGGTTGGCTTAATGAAAGGTTAAGAAGTCTTTTTACCTCTGTACTGCAGGGCTGCCGTCACCTGGGTGGTCAGGCCAGAAAACGTCTGATCCACCCTTTTAATGGAACCTCTGTCCAAGGCTGCTGTGACCTCGTCATAACTGAGGAACACAGACATCGCATACAGTCGGTAAAAGTAAACAATCAACAGTGTCTGAAACTCAATAGCCTTTGAATTCAACAAACCTGAAGTAATAGTGGCCAACGAAGAAGAGCGTTTTTCCAGATGCGGCGTCATGCAGAGCTGCATCGATTTTCTTCACAAACCTCGGCAGGCCAAAGGCCTTCAGATTCTTTGGATAGCCTCGGACGGGCTCATAGCCCCTGAAGGCCCACACTTTCCGCCCTGCGCACAAAGGACGGAATGAGAAACTGACTTCCATCTGCCGTGAAACGGACGCTCTGCACCGAGAGGAGGAGCGCCTCACCTTTGAAGAGAAACACAGTGTCTGACAGCCGGCTCTCGTACGCAGCATCAATGCTGACCGGGGCGCTGGGCCAGAAGTTTGTGATGAGGCTCTGCTGGGGGGCCCTGCTCTGATCAAAGCTGCGCCAGAATAAGCTGAGGACGCAAGGAGACACAACAGTTTGGTACGCGAGCCCAGAAACGATGCTGCTCAGAAGGAGGATGATGACGTTTGGAGCAGCTGGTCTCACACCTGTCCTTAAAGAAAAGAGTCTCTCCTCGCAAAGTGGTGACGGCATCCAGCACCATAGTGGAGTCACAAGTATCTGGAGTCGTGGGTGGCTGTGGTTCACCTACAGGGGGTTTTTTGTTTGGGCCTGGAGATTAAAACAAGAGCAAAATTAAAACAGCCTCGAACAACCCCTCTGATGGAGCAAACAGCTGGATGCTTGACCATAGGCTGACCATAGAGGGACTGGATGCCTTTGACGTCGTCTTGGGGCAGAACAAAGGTGTCGGGGTTCCTGTACGAGTACAAAGGGTACATGAGAGCGCCGGGATCGTCCGAGTGAGACAGGCCCAGGGAGTGGCCGAACTCATGAGCAGCCACCAGGAAGAGCACGTAGCCTGGAACAGAGAAATGATGGCCGGACGGTTGCAGCGCTTCAGGAACAGAGCCGCCCATTCTCTGAGTTCATGGGGAGAGTTTGACGGACTCACCTCGGTTTAAACGGAAGGTGAAGCTTTCGTCGTCGTCAAAGTGAGCGTCGCCGCCAATGCCGGAGGAAGGAGCAAAGGCATGGGCAAGGGTGCCGTCCCGACCATCGAAGGGGTAATAATCCCCATGTGCTGGTGGAAATAATATCTTAATGTTAAATCTACATGTTCATAGCTGACTTTTCAGCGGGGATGCACTGATCTTTTGACCCCCTTTGGCCATGGACCCCCTGAACCTGGTGATTTCTTTTAGACCTTTCACCTGTGAAGGCACTGTGTGCATAGTAGAGCTCCAGGCACTCCAGAGCAAGCAAACCTCAAACCATCTATTTGTTATACCTGCAAGGCGAAAACTGGGTGTGTGGCTTGGCTGTAATTGTGGTAAATGAAAAAAACAAACCTATTTGTTTGATGACAAAGCCAATTTGCAGACAAAATCCTTAGTGTACATTGTTGCTAGTTAAGAAAATTACAGATTTAAGAAAATACACTAATCATAGTATCCTCACACTTTTTTCTGTTTATGGAAAACTGAATGTTCGTTTAAAATTACGATAGCTAAATGACCTTTATAATTTATTTGGAATCAGCTATATCACAACTTTTAATTTTTGTGTCTTTTGTGTCTTTAATGAGGAGCATTTATGTCAGGACGCGTTGGGGCAACACAAACAGAGCCATGTTGTCTCTGTTGACCAGCCAGCGACTCACACTGAGGTCAACACTCATTAGGAAGGCGTTTACAGATGCAAACTGCAAGCGCTGACATGCCGCCAGTGGAATGGCTTCTGTTGTGTGGAGTTACCTGCATTATGTAACTGTGCTGCACCTGTAGGAATGTCTGTCATTAAGAGGTAACGCAACAGCCAAAAATACTCTGCAGCGTGTACAGCTGAGAGGAAGAAAGCACCGGTAATATATGCAATGAGCTTCAGCTCTGCTCCCAGAGCAAAACACTGCTTAAGCTCTGAGGGTTCTTAACAGAAAAACTAAACCATGGCCATTTTAAAATATGCACATGACATTTTCTGTGGAGTTAAAGATGTACAGCTATACTCTGCTGCATCAAAGATAGAATTAGAATGAGAAATTTTCTTTTCTCCTTCTGTAAAATCCTACAAAAATGATGGTATGTTGAGTTTGGCAGACTTATGTTAGGTGTTCAACACCGTGTACTCACACAGGCGTCCAAAGGAGATCATGATGTCGGCCGTGCCGCTGTAGATTCTGGTGAAAGTCAGAGGAGTGACTCTGGCCCAAACCTGCAGAGCTCTTTGTATGGAGTCATCCACCTCTGCCACAGACATGTCCGGGGTATAGTTCTCTATCCTGTACCATGGAAGGGGGAAAACATTTGTAATTCTATGGGCTTAAAGTAAACATTTTAATTTCAGATCACAAACCTGTATGTGAGGCTGTTTTTCTGCCATTTCAGGTTGTTTCCAAAGGTGGAGAAACGGGCGACTCGCTCATCTGGAACGCCGCATCGGGGCTTCTTCATCATCTCCAGGGTGTCGGCATCAAGACTGCCGGTGATCTGGAGCCCGAAGAACCTCTGCATCTCACTCAGCTTCCTACTTATGGGGCTGATCCCCCGTCTGGTGGACGGACCACTCTCCTCTGTTAGGTTGAAGAATTTCTTCAGGTAGCTCTGCAAAAGAAGACAAGAAGTCACACCCGGCTTTAGGTTTGAAGATTTGTGCGGGTGTTTGGGCCCAGCACAACCCACTGTACCTCTGCAAAGCCCTCGTCCTGAGCTGTGGGCGTTGACATGGGAACGCCGCAGACTGCAGCCGCCACGCTCAGCAGGACGCACACGCTGAAAAGCCTCATCTTTCCTCGATGCGTTTGACTCGTGCATGTGCCTCAGAGTCTGATGTTATATAGGCTGTGGGGTGGAATTGTTGGGGAGTGGGTGTGTTGAGCAACTACCCTCTTGAGTGGATGACTCAAGGGCTGTGCCATTCATGAGTGACGAGGGCAGAAACTTCCAAAAACAAACCTGTAATCATCATGACGTGACACATGACACTTCCGATAAGAACAAGCAGGTTTTGATTTGATCATTTGAAATTATGGAAACTTAGTGCTCGTGAAGTTGCGTTTAATTTTGTGTAGATCATTGTTGGGTAACTTGTTTTTGTGCCACACTCGACAACACTGAAATATTTTAGCTTAAACCTGATACTTTGAGTTGGAGATGCACTGGGCACCTTTTCTGAATACTTATTTTCTTTAGAATATATTTCCCCATTTCTTTGTCCATGTTGTTTTTTGCCCGAGGGTATACGCTGCCTTTAGAGGGATTTTCTACTCAGACTTTCATGACAAAGCTGGGATTCCAAACTTTACTCACAGATAGTCTTTCCAGCCCAGAGGCTCTTGATTTTTCTGATAAAATACTTAAGTGGCAACAAGCCGGATCATGCCAAAAACAAAAGTCCCATTGGTTTTGAACCGTAGGTCAGCTTTTGTTTCTATGATGTCATCTCTCTGACTGAACAGCTTTACTCATCAGACATCATCACAACCTGTAACAACTATGTTTCTCCCAATAGACGTTTATTTACTTCCTTATCTATAGTGAAGACATAATAAATTGTGTTTGTGTACTACTGCTTATGGAACTAAGTGTGGTCAGTGTTTCCCAACATTGGACACTGGGAGGGGCTGCAATGTCTATTGTGTAACGTGTTTAATGGTAAATTTAACAACAAGTTAGAACAAGGATGTAGCAACAGACAAAACAAGGTTAGTTTGATCCAATACATGTCTGTGACATAAAAGCATCAGTTGTTATGTGTATATTTGTACACATGTATATGTGTGTGTATTAGGGAGTTAGTATTATTTTTTAATAATTTAAAGAGCCTCATAACTGTTAAAGTTTACAAATGCTATACAATTATTCATGTTTACAGTCAAGTTAATTGGGACTTTTTTTGTTTTTATCATAGAATACCCACAAATACAAATAGACCTTTCTAATTAAATAAATTAATCAACACGACTGGATTTTAATGTGCTATCTTTTGCCAATCAGCGCAAGAGAGGAAATGTTATAATTATTGACTCCCTGAATAAAGTCACTTGTGTAAATAAGAAAATGTTTCCTCAAAGAGATATGAAACAAATTCAAAACTTTTTGTTTTTACCTGTTTTACCTGTTGCGGAAAAAAAAGAAAACTTTAATTTTGAGATCACTCATTGACAGAGCGCAGTCTTAAGCTGTTCAGAAATATAGATATGATGAAAAACTTCTCCTTTTAATGTTGTTTGTTAAAACTTTATTAAATGATGTCAATCAGTTGGATTAAAAATTCAGTTTTTCCCACAAATTGTTTGAAAAATGTTTTTTGATGATGAATATTAGCTGTGTAACACAGAGACTGGCCCCAACTTGAATTCATGGCTTTGGCTCACGTCACTTCTTGAAAACAAGTAATTCATCACTGATGTTATCTTAGGGACAAAAATCCTCATCGGGTGGAACTCCCCGAACCCCTGCAGCATCTCGACCTTCCACTCGTTTTTTGACCCAAAAACATTCAGCTGGTTGTATTCGGAGGATAAATTGAGGCCACACAGACACAGAGCGGCGCCACATTTAGGCATTAGCCTCAAAGAACTGCCACATCTAATATTAACAATGATAAAACAGCAAAGAATCTGACCTCTGTGTTGTCAATATTTTATCCATTGTTTTCTCTGTTCACCCTTTAACATAAATGGCCAATCAGTGTTTCTGCATTAACATTTCTGATTCAGATCAGGAAATATGAAAAAATAGATCCATTCATTCGAATCTGGAATGTCACATGAGTTTCAAGACTTACATATAAACAAGTCAGCCTCGAATTTGTTATGAGGATTTTCACTTTGATTAAAAAAAGAAAAATAAAGCCAGTGTGGGAATACTTTTGTGGATTTATTTAACAGCAGTAACAGTAAGCAGTGACAAAAACAATCAAATCAATATTTAAAAATTAAAACTGAATAAATACAGAATTTAATAAGTTAGATTAATTTAAAAGACATCAATGGCTGATGTCAAATTTGTATAAAGCACAGAAACGACTAAAAACATTTAGGCCATCTCTTTAAAGGTCATATATCCAGTATATGCCTGTTTAACAATAAAGACAGATGCAAGAAATATATTGTTATAAAATAGGGCTGCATTAACAGCAGCCTTAGCCAGTCAACTGGCTTATAAATTGTTGCAGGGCAGGAAGTAGCTGTTCCTCAGCACGCGGAACAGCCTCCCGGTCCAAAGGCTGTACTCGAACATGTAGGGCCCGCTGTAGAGGTAAGCAAAACCTGCAACACAAAGCGACCCGCGTCAGTGCTGCATAATGGCTGGAGTCGGTCAGAGCAACCGCAATGATTTAGTCTCTCAGGAAAGCAGAACTCAGGCTCACCTCTGAACTGTAGGGCTGCGGTCACCTTGCCGGTCATGCCAGAGAAGAATTCATCCACCCTTTTGGGGGGTCCCTGATCCATGGTCTTTGTAATCTCATTGTAACTGGGAATCAAAAAAGAGACATAATTAGATTCAGCCTGACAAACAGCTGGGCTTTTCTGAAGAAACTTCAAGTCTAACTTGAACACACCTGTAGTAGCTGTCGCCGACAAAGAAGAGTGTCTTGGAAGATCTTTGGTCATAGAGGGCTGCATCCACTTTCTTCACAGTCTTTGGCAGACCAAAAGTGGAAATGGATTTAGGGTACCCTGGCGCCAGATCGTAAGCGCTGAAAGCCCAGACTCTCCTATCTGTGGAGAAAAGGAAAGCGGAGGCTTCAGCCGAGCTGCTCATGCAAATGAAAACAGTCTGACACCGCGCGCACGTGGAGGGCAAGTACATTTGAAGACCAAGATCCTGTCAGAGATCGGGTTTTCATAAGCGGCATCGATGTTGACGGGAGCGTCAGGCCAGAAGTGGGTGATGAGAGCTTGCTGGGGTATGTAACTCTGAGGGTTGATCCGCCAGAACAAGCTGAGAAGATGTACACAAACACACAGATTAAATCAGGAGCTCATTTTCTGTGAAAAAGGCAACGCTAACTGGCTTCTTACAGACGGTAAGTAATACCTGTCCTTGAAGAAGAGCATCTCTCCCCGCAGGGAGGCCACTGCATCCAAAACCATGTTTTCATCACAGGCGTCAGGGGTGGGGGGGGCAGTAGGTCCAGTTTCGGTCGGACCCTCGTTTGCACCTACGATTTAAGAAAAATGATTGTTACAATCAAGCCAGAATATTTCTTTTTCTTCTTTCAAAGAAGCAGACTTTAAGTGCTGACCATAGAGGTACTGGATGCCTCTGACGTCATCCTGGGGCAGAACAAAGGTGTCGGGGTCCCTGTATGCGTACAAAGGGTTCATGAGAGCGCCGGCATCCCTAGAGTGAGACAGGCCCAGGGAGTGGCCGAACTCATGAGCAGCCACCAGGAAGAGCACGTAGCCTGAAACAAAGACAGGACAGAACAGCAGGTCAGTTAAAGCTCACCTAGGACAAGCAGGTAAGCAGAGGGGGGCCAGGGACGGTGAGAAGGCCAAACTCACCTGCATTTGATCTGAAAGTGAAGGTCTCATCGTCGTCAAAATGAGCATCTCCCCCGAGGCCAGCGCCCGGGGCGAAGGCGTGGGCAAGGGTGCCGTCACGGCCGTCAAAGGGGTAGCCATCACCGTGTGCTGGTGGCCAGAGCAGACAGACGTTACATGTCATTAGCCAAGCAAAGAGAAGAATTACAATGAAATTACACAAATGTGTCCTAAAGGGCATAGCTGATAAACCACATCCTCCGTGGATCACAAGCAGAACGAACTGAACACAGAATGAACACGTGTGTGCAGGATTTTATACTCACACAGGCGTCCAAAGGAGATCATGATGTCGGCCGTGCCGCTGTAGATTCTGGTGAAAGTCAGAGGAGTGACTTTGGCCCAAACCTGCAGAGCTCTTTGTATGGAGTCATCCACCTCTGCCACAGACAAGTCCGGTGTGTAGTTCTCAATTCTGTTGAATGACATAAAAAAAAGCACAATTCAAATCCCTACAAGGTCTACAGAGAAGCACTTCTCTGAAGATATTCTCACTTTAGAAGGCTCACCTGTACGTGATGCTCTCTTTTTGCCATTTGGGGTCATTTGCAAAGGTAGAATAGCGGGCAATCTGCTCATCTGGAACTCCGCAGCGTGGCTTCTTCATGGTGGCCAGGGTTTCTGCGTCCAGACTCCCTGTAATCTCCAGGCCGAAGAATTGCTGCATCTCCATCAGCTTCTGCGTCACTGGGCTGAGTCCCCTTCTGAAAGTTGGGCCACTTTCCTCTTCCAGGTTATAAAACTTCTTCAGGTAATCCTGGCGGGGAAAAAGAAAGTTGGATTTTGATACATGCATGAAGTTCAGTACCTGCAAATAAAAGCGGGCAGCACCTCCCTTTTCCTGTTTGTCAGAGATAAGGAGCATTTTTCAGAGCACACACATGCAAACAAGGGTAAGTCCAGCACAATACCTCTGCGAAGCTTTCATCTTGATCGATGTCCTTCGACACTGGAAGGCAGCATGCAGCCGCTGCTAGGCCCAGGAGAATACTCAGAGTTAATGTCTTCATGTTTCCTCGTTGAATGCGATTTGTTTCTCAGCTCTGGAGGCAGCTCTTTTATAGTGTGGAGACTGGGAGTGCTGAGCAACCACCTGCATGAGTCACACCTTAAAAATGTCCTTTTATGGCTGGTAGAGGAAGTTGGGCATTGATTGCTCATCCAACCAAAAAGTTTCCCCAACAAGAAATGATGACAGGACACCTCTGAAGTTGTGACATTCAAGGAAATCAATTTAAACAGATTGAAATATGTCAAATGTTTAAAGTAGTCTCAGTTTTGATATATCGATCAATCCATTGACAAAATTGTGCTTGATTTTAAATCTTTGCTTTAAACAGTAAAACACACCGATTCAGTGTTATTAATGGATGTTCAGAGGATTTATTATTAAATAAATCAGACCAGAGGTTCTTCAAACTGCAGCTGGTGTGTTTTAATTCAGTAGCTCACTTTTGGAAGATTAGCTTTTCTTTTTATTTCTTGGAACATTTCTGGGTATTTCCACCCTTTATCTTGTCATTTGAGCGTGGAAGTGAACAATACCTATTCAGTCTGACAGATGCCGTTCATAGGAGGCCTGTGATTCCAAGATCTGTCATCAAACTGCATCGGAAATTACCGGCCAGCTCATATAAAATGGCATTAGTAATGTTGTTATAATTTCTACCATAAATTTGATTTAGGAGAAACACAAAAGTCACTTTATACTGTTGATTCAAGGGTTCTCTAAAGAAGGCAAAACACCTTTTCCATTTGACTCATAAATTGTGATTCAGCCGTTAGTATTATTTCTTCCCACGCATCTTCATCTTTAATAATCCTTGGCCACTTTGTTCATCATTGTTTATGGAAATCTACCATCTTGGTCACTGTTGCCTAACAGTGGACAGAAGCAGCTGGGACTCTGCTGAGTAGTGCGCAGTCTCAGGTCAACTGGTCAACACCAGCAAGCACAAACACTGGTTTGCTAAAAATAAAACAAAAAGAAGTGGAAACTTGGAAAAAGAAAGAGCTGACATTTTTAAAAAAGGACAAGCACGATTTTTAACAGTTTTGTTCTTTTATTAGATAAGAAGTAGATCACAGAGTGACAGTGAAACAAGCGTAGAACCACGAGCAGCAGCTTTCATTTGGTTTAGTCTCCCAAAATGAGGTCTACATATCATGCATGGCGTGGATTGATGCTTCTGAGGCTTACAGAGTTAAGCAGTTCATTTGAATTAAATCACAATTTAAACACAGTAGTAAAAACTTTCATACAAGATACATATGTCATTACTGCATCATCCTTTACATGCTAATGCAACACTTCTAACCACTTCCTGCATTATTCATCAGCTCCCCGCTTCGTAACAGTGTGTGCATTTACACGGTATTTTCATCACGCTTCTCCGGGTTGTGTCGGCGGTCTCTTGTCTGTCGTTGCTTCCGTCTTGTCCTCCATTTTGCAGTCCAGCAGGTCGTTAGCCGAGCTGATGGAAACAACAAGCTCTGAGACGGGGTCGTATTTATAATGGAGGTTTCCTTTGAAGAAATGCACAAAACCTGTGGGAGATACAGATCCATAAGTCGGGATGTAATGTGTGTCAAACTTGTCCTGTGTGTAGTAAAATTAGCCTGTTGTGTTGTGTAGTAATGCTTTGTCTTTGTATTGTGAACGTCTTCCATGCTCTTGCGTTGACGCTAAGGCAAATGGCCCTCTGGAAAGAAGGTCCTTCTTCATGAACATTAATAGAAATATTTCTTCCTGGACTACACAACAGATGAATGAGTGAATACACACAGCAACAGTTTTTCTATTTGCATGTTATCATTCCACCATTATGTTCGCATCCTGTTTTCCACTCGGTGTGACAGAGAAGACGGGGACGGTTGGATGTGAGTACCATCGTAGAAAACAGCTGCATCCACAGGCCACGGAACCCCTGGAAACTGCTGACTGATGAGCGCTGGTGGTCCCTCCATCACACTCTGTTTCTCGTTGTACCTAAACATCACAGATTTTTGCCCATCAAAGCTGTGTCTTTATTTTCTTATTACCAATAAATCTCAGACACACGTTCATCTTAAACAACTTAAGTAACACTGCAGATGAGAAACAGCTCCGGCTACTCACAGGGGAAGTTTTTTTATTACGTCAACTGATTTAGAGGAAGCAGCCTGTACTCAATAATAGTTACTCATACAGCTGGTCTATGTTGTAAAAGTTACACAGAAGAATGATTTATCTTTTAATGAATGCCTAATTTATCAAAAGAGAGATTAACTTTGCTTTTTTGTCAATAACAAGAGAAACAGTTCCAACTGGATATTTGTGACGTTAAACTAATGAAGAATTCCTTGTATCTCAACCCATTTGTGTTTTTTATTCCAGGAAAAAAAGAGTCTTTGTAACATTTAATGTTACTAATAAAGGAAATAGATTGCGGCCCGTCTTCCTTTTTTCAGAATCTAGAAACAGCGGGCAGTTTTTTCAGTTGATTGATCTGGACAAGATTTGAAGGAAAGCTGGGGATAACCAAACATCAGATACCTCCAGCACTCATGGCCGGCGAAGAACAGAGTATACTGTTCACTTCTGAAGTGAAGAGCAGCATCCACAGATTTAAGTCTGGAGGGGAAGCCAAAGTCTGAAATGTTCCTGGGAAATCCTTCACTCTGTGTCAGCTGCCTTAACTTCCAGTACTGATGGCCTGAAACAGAAAAAAATCTAACAAACATTTATACCCACATATGGGAGCCTTTAAGATGGAGAAACATCTGTTTTCTGGGGGGGAATTACCTTTGAAGAAAAGAATAAAATTCCTTTCCAGGTTCTCATAAACAGCATCCAGGCGGGAGGGCACAGCGTCAGGCCACAAGCTGCTGATCAGGGTAATCCCGATTTTATCAAAATGAGGATGTTTACGCCACATAAATCTGAAAATGTAGGAAGCATTCCTCAGAAACCATTTCAGACAATTAATCTTCGCTGAACGGGGGTAAAAAAAAAGGTTTTGCATACCTGTCTTTGAAAAATACGACCTCTTGCTGCAACCGTGTGACGGCATCAAAGGACAGATCTGGATCGCACTGATCCGGTGTTTTTGGGGGAGGTTTTTTGGAGGCTAACAAGGAAAATTTGGGACTGACACCTGCGCACAGCATCGAAGACAAACATCAACAGAGGCAAGACTCTTTTAGACAGAGCTTCCACCATTCGCTTTGTACGGCCAAATGAGGCCGTGTCAAATCTGTGGTCCACCCCTGCTGTGGGGGAACCAGACAAAGGCAGAGAGAGCTGAAGGATGAATGGAGGGGACACGCCGCGGATACGCTCACCGTACAGCCGCTGGATGTCCTTGACGTCTCGGAAAGACAGCTGCAGCTCATCATGTGGGACAAAACTGTATGCTGGGTACATGACGGCTCCGGGGTCGGCGGAGTGAGACAGGCCCAGAGCGTGCCCAAATTCATGAGCAGCCACTGCAATCAGGCTGACACCTGAAACAAAGACAAATCCCTCACAAACTAATCTTTTCCGTACAAAGAAACAAGCGTGTGTCAGGTGAGGGATTCTGCTATCAAACCAAGGCGCCATTTCATTTCTTTCTGTCAAACGTCCTCATACACCGTACAGTTAAACACACGGGTGTCATGGGAACAACCCCATAAAACAGCAGTCATCCGACTAAAAGGGTGACATGATCATCTTCTAGCTGCAGCCGTACCAGTGTGATTGAAACTCCAGTCCTCGTCTGCATCAAAGTGCACGTCTCCTCCAGTTCCAGGTCCTGGCAGAAAGGCATGGGCCAGAACTCCCCCTTTGCCATCAAAAGCTGCTTCGTCCTTATGATCTGCAACGGACATCCTTAAATTACTACGTTTTAAAGTAAACTGTGACTGGATTACTCTGCAGTGTAAACCGGCCTGGTCCCTCCATACTGCATATATATTACACTGTCACCCAGACCGTCTGCAGCACATAACCATCCTCCCATTCCCGTCATTCTTATTGCCTTCCAACCTGTTACTGAATACATACATTTTTAGTCCGTCTTCCACCATCATTGTACTTGTACTTCTTTAAATACTGCTGCACACATGTGTTTCTATTATGTTCATGAAACCACTGTGTCACTGTACACTGTCCATCCATCCAGTATCGTAACTGCTTATTCCCTATCCCAGTACTCAATTGGCGAGAGGTGGGGAACATCCTGGACTGTCACTGTACGCACTACATATTGTAGATCATCTCACTGTTGAATATTTTGCGCATACAGGAAGGAATCAATGCGCTCTGAATATATCGTAATTATCTTCTCGCTGCTTCTGCACTTCTGGTTGGATGCAAACTGTATTGTGTTGCCATCACTTTTGACATATGCAATGACAGTAAAGTTGAATCTATTCTAATCTAATTCAATACTCGGAGCTCACCTCCTTTGTAGAAAGAAATAACGATGTCAGCCTCTTTCCTGTCTCGCTTGCGAAATTTCAGCAGTGTGACACTGGACCAGAGCTTCCACGCTGCCCTGAAGACTTTCTGAACCTTTGGGAGCGATATCGGCAGCTTGCCAGCGAGCCTGGTGGCAGAAACTTTGCTGTTAACTTCATCTTAACCGGTTGGACATCGGGGGCGATCATTGTTCTGGATTTGTGGCTCAAAGATGATTATTGGGCTCTTAACATTTGGAATGTCTTCTGGGATGCAGCCTGCCGTCAGCATTACTGTCTGAGTCAATAAAAGGATCACACAGAAAAGACACCTTCAAAGTGCAAAAATCAAGCAAAAACAAACAAATATAACAGTTAAAAAAATGCATTTTGGGGTGATGTCAAACATGAGTTTTGAGTCATGATTATGAGAGTTCTCCACATGAAGTTGTGATGATGTTTGACAAGAATAATGAGGAACTGAAAAATCTCTCTGGGCTAATGGCCTCTTCGAGGGGATATTTTGACTGTCATTCACATTGTGATGATGAGCATGTTAAACAACAACTGTGATAAACAGAACGCTTGCTGGGTTTGTCTAACCTGTAGCTGAGCGTTCTCCCCTTCCAGCGAACTGTTTCCCCAAAGTGCTCCACATCAGACAAACCGCAGCGCGGCTTTTTCATAACCACAAGAGTCTCCTGGGAGAGCTCCCCGCTTGGAGGCAGGCCGAAGAAGCTCTGCATCTTCTTGACTGCATCGCACAGCCCATTCGTGAAGTCCAGCTCTTCCCCAGAAGCCGCAGACCTCCTGTGTCTTCCTGCCTCGGAACGGTAGCCATAGAAGTGCTGCAGGTATTCCTGCAAAGCGCCCCTCATGTCAATCAGGTGGAAACAGAATAGGATAAAAAACAACTGAAAAACGAGCAGTAAAAACAACAGCAACTGTGTTTTATTCAGGGGACAAACACTCACAATCTCCCTGCAGTCGTCAGAAACACATATGCAGCATGAAAGATAGTCATGAAATGACTTTACAGTAAACATTCCGAGCATTTCTGCACGGCTGTAATGATAGCGTGAAGCAGAAAAAGCTGCTGTACTCATGTAATTGCAGGTGTGGGCATCACAGTCACAAAGAACAAGTCTCACTTAAGGGATTTTGGCAGCTCCATGTACAGGAATCTCAGCGACAAAGTAAAATAAACCATTTCAGCATGATTTCAGCATGTGTGGACAAACTAAACCAAAAAAAGTCCATTGTACCATAATCATTGGATGGAAATGGTGAACGATCAAAGCGCTGAAACTGTGGAGGAATAATATTGAAGTACTTACATTTGCACAGCAACAAAAGCAAAATTATTGAAAATGTACCACCTTTTACCACAATTTGATCAAACTTCAGACATTTTATTTTTCAGATTAAGAAATTACTGTAGTAAGTGTATTGAAAATATGAATTATACCCTCAAGTATTGCAAAGGCTTTCCTTTTCAGTGTGTCTGAGCAGCATTAACACATTTAATAAACACACCTCATACAAAAAATCCATGAGTAAAAACTATTTTAAGATCATCCCATCACGTTGTTGACATTTAATCAAATAACCTTTTGTACACTATATGCTTATCAAGGCAAATAAAGTCTGTTTTACAGCAACTAAGCATGTGTGGATGTTTCCATTTTTTACTGCTGCTCCCCCCAGATTTTTATCATTTCCAAGATTGAAGTTCAAATCGACTTAGTAGTCAAATAACACATCTGCTGCATTTTTGAGAAGTGAACCTGGGGCTAACTGGCAGGCGCTCAAAGGGAAAAAACTTAAAGAGCTCTTATCTGCGGTCCACGTTTAGCCACAGAAAAGATGAAATTATAGATCCAACCAGCCCGTTATCATCCCTGGAATTAAATTTATGTAAGTATAAGACGGTGAAGGGAAAGCTCAAAGCCATACGAGAGATTTTAAAAGGTGAAACACACAAACTGTCTCATTTGAAAGAGAATTTCTCACAGTGAAATTTTGAATATGCTGGTTTGGAGTACGCAGCCCTCATCAAAAAGTATGAGGAGGTTATGTTGAGTCATACTTTAAATCTTTGACAACAATGTATAAAAATAAATAAATGCTAAATGTAGTCTAAATGATTGGAAACTGGTTAAACAATTTTAGAGGCAATAACAGAAATCATAATTTCCTACCATGTCCTAATATTAACAATAAACTGCTGTCTTTTTTGGTGGATTTCTGGGTTTTTCTTGTGGAAAAATACTAAAGTACAAAATCCCAACTCGAAAGCCCTGTAAATGCATTCGCCAGCTTGTCACAGATACTTTTCCCCCCAACCTTTTCTTAAAGAGGCCCATATTTTAGAGCCCAAGTAATAATTACCTGTGCAAACTCCTGGTCTGATTCAGAGGGTCCAGCGGTGGGCTGCGGTGCGGGTATGGGGGCGCGGAGAGGTGAAGCCCCCACAAAGATGTGTGTGGGCATCAGCAGGGCCAGCAGAGTCAGCCAGAGCATCTTCATGCTGAGCGTGCAGGCGTCCCAGTGGGACGATCAGCCTGTGCGCCTGCTGACGCAGCGCTGCATGCAAAGCAGCGGCCGGGACCAGCTGTTAATTATCGGACGTGCCAGCGCTCCTGTCCCAACAAGAACTGCGAGGTGGCTCCACGCGCCGCAGAGTTTTCTTTAATGTCATTTCAAAGGAAACAGGTAAGTCCTCATTAATCAGCCTTCCTATTTGGTGGGAATCAATCCCAACTGGCCCCAAATTGCCTTCAATTTTGAAATTGTGTCAACATCTCAGCTGCTGTTTTTTATCTGTGATGGAGTTCTGGGGAATTTCAAAGCTGTCTTAACCTGCAGGTGAACAATTTACAGCAGGTCCAGTTTGTCTTTAGATGAAGATGATATAAAGTAACAATAACATACTTGCAAAGAAATTCTAAATGACTTTGAGCGCATCTCCTAGTGATCATCTCAGTGTGGATTATGCTCAGAAAACATCTAAACTCTTTCCATATTGAGGATTAATATATCAAGCCATCTCATTTGAGATCTTCATGGTTAATCTGCCCCCCTTCTGTACACTGATCTGACATATTTTTCCTTTTATCAAAATTAGAGAAAGATATTTTTAACATCATCTCCCCACATCTAAAATCTCATGAGTGGAAGTAGTTTATTCAAGCTTTTAAGCATGAAATGAAGCATCAGTGTTACCTGTGACAGAAAGATGCACAAATTCGATGAAAAAAAAAGCTTTTTGCTCCTCAGGTGATTAAAGAACATAGAAACACGGTGCTCTGCAAAGACACCTCACTAAAGTAAATGCTGGCCATGTGACCACCTGGCGTCTCAAGCCTGCCTGCGCGTCTCTTTGCCCAATTAGAATGACATGTGAAATAGTTACGAGCAGGTTGAAATCCTCTGAAGTGGTGTGTACGAAAGCCAAAAAGAAAGATAATATAATTACCACGATAACAACAACACTCATCAAACATTCTCAAATTGTTCCTTCAAAATCATTTTCATCAAATCATCTTTGATTGGTAATTACCTGATTATTTATTACTCTGTTTGAAATGTTTCATTAACTTTCTCCTGAGCTTGTTCCAACATCTTTGCTGCGTTCATCCCTCCCACGATGCACTCAGAGAGCAATTAGTCTGAGACACTCAGGGACACAGAGACACTTTTCCACACAAAAGATGAGCAAACAACAAGCCGCAAGCCTGCGCATGGAAAGCTCAAGTCCCCCCTCAATCTGCCCGCATCTTCGAAAGAAAGCCTGTTTTTACGGTTTCTGTAGTTTTGTTTTAATCTCTTTAAATCAGTTCAGTGTAGTTTAGCATAGTTCGGAGTTGTTGAAAGGTCCCTTTGAAGTCATCATTTAAAACTATTTTGCATCATTCTGACTAAATGAAATAGGCTAAGCTGATCAAAGTTGCACCATCATGTCTTTATTAAAAGACATTTAACTTTTTCTGGCCTCTTTAACTGCAAATTAACTGCATATAGTTATATAGATTATTCTTGAATGTAAATATCTTTATTGTAGAGCAGAGCAGGAGCTGAAATACCGAAACATATTCAACAATAAAAGCATTCCTAAAGCGATAATGTCCCCCTAAATTTTACTTTATATTTTTAAAACAGTCTTATTCATTCTATATTATAAGTACAGTTATAAGCTACTTGTACTTTTT